TGAAAGATTAAAGTAACATTTGGCTTTTCTAACCTTAATCCATGCAAAAGATCGCAATTGAATAAGTTCAAATAGTTTGGCCTAGTTTACCTTCAAATTTTGGAAAATCTTCCCATTTCAAGCCATCCATACTGACCAAATAAATGAGTTCCATATGCAATCCCATCCTTCTGAAATTCGTGAGCTTGTGGTCCATGCTCCAAAATTTTGAAAGGTTTTCCAACAATCCTTGTGTAACGTGACAATGATCCCCCACCAATTTGCACATGCCTGCCACAACCTTCTAGCTATACTGCAATTCAAGAACAGATGGTTAGAGTCCTCATCCTCATTGTCACACAGAACACACTTTCTTTCTCCTGTATCTTTGACAATTCCTCTTTTGAGCAAGTTTATCTTGGTTGGAATTCTGTCCAGCATTACTTTCCAGTTGAAAGCTGCAACTTTGCTTGGGAGAATCTTGCTCCATATTCTTTTGAAAATTTCAGCTTCCTCCGGTTCTCTTCTTTGTTTTACTAACATCAAGTAAGTTGTTTTTTGTTGAGTATTGACCATCGTTGCTATGAATCCATTCCCATTTGTTCGGTTGGCCAGGTGTGATTGTCACATTCTCAATCGTCCTTTTAAGTTCCTTTGCGTCCTCATCTTCCCACTCGAACAAAGTTCTTCTCTATGCAAGGTTCCATTTCCATGTGCCGTTGACGTTTTGGCCCATTTGGTGGCACTTGTTTTCCTTCCCTGTTGATAAGAGATATAATCTAGGAAATTTGTTAGCCAAGCAAACCTCCCCACACCACTCATCCCACCAGAAACTCCCATCTTTCCCTTCTCCTATCTTCATTCTAAAGCCCGATGACAACCACCCCCCATTTGCCCCATCCCCCACATTGAGGTTTCATACGTCTCTCCACCAAAGTGATCCTACATTTCTTCCATCTCGCACCCAATCCAGCCAATGCCCCCCATTCTATCCATATTTCCCTTCCATGAAACTCTTCCACAAACCCTTTTCTATATTTGCAAGCCTTCCCCACCATTTTCCCATCAACGCCATATTAAATTTCCTCAAGTCCCTCACTCCTAGTCCTCCATGCTTCTTTTGTTTACAAACCCTCTCCCATTTAACCCAATTGGTTTTTTTTTTTAACTTTTCCCCCCCTCCCCATAAAAAACATCTACGAATTTTATCAAGAGAATAGAGTATACCTTTAGGTATTTGGTAGGCTGACATCATGAACACAGGTAGACTGGATAACACAGAGTTTATGAGCGTGATCCAACCTCCAAAAGATAAGTGTCTACCTTTCCAGCTTGCAAGTTTCTTTTTAAAAGTATCCACCAACGGTTGCCACATTGCTAGCTTTCTATGATTTCCTCCGATTGGAATTCCCAAGTACTTGAACGGGAATTCCCCCTCTTTGCAGTATAGCCGGTAGGCCATCTTCCTCTTCCAACTGTCCTCAATCCCGACACCCATTAGTTGACTTTTTCCATAGTTAATTTTCAGCCTCAAGACTAGTTCGAAAGTCTTCATGATGCATTTGATAGCTAGAATATTTTCTTCCATTGCCTCACCAAAAAATATTGTATCGTTAGCATATTGAAGGAGAGATCAACTCTTTTATATTCTTGTTCTTGTTCTCTTTCATTGTAACAAGTGGTAGAGGAATTGGGGAAACCTTGTTAGAACTAGTAATCCATCCTAGAGATATAGAGAGGGTTGAGAGATTTATAACAAAGGAATTGAACGGTTCAATAACACTTGTAAGCTATTGAGAAAGTGATTGGATAACCTTATTAGATCTAGAGAAAACCAACCTTGTGGTATAGGATTGGGTTTATGAGAGATTGTAACAAAGGGTTGAATTGTTGAAGGTGGATAGCACTAACAAAACTATTGCAAATAGTTGCCTCCACACCCAAAAGTTGGATGAGAGATTTTGAATCCAAAACTAACTCTCAAGTAGGTGGCTTTAAAAGTGAACTGTGCACAAATTGTGACAGAACCACTATTTTTTTTGTACTTGTTCATTGTTTTGTTTTTAAAAGTTATAAAGTTTTTGAAAATCCAATTCATCCCCCTCTTGGGTTGCCATCTAAGCCAACATATTTAATTGGTTAACCATCAATTTTAGTGCTTAAATTTTGAATTTTGAACACTTTTAATTTTAAAATTATTTTTGATATTTTTTTTAACTCTCAATTGTAAAAAAATTTACTTCTTTCATTAATTAAGTGATGATGTGCCCGGTTAACGCATTTAATATTTTATTTTTAAAATTTTTTTATGACGTGTTCATTATAAATGAATCTCTCAATTTTGTTAGACAAAATATATATGTAGAGTTTATATTTGCAATTTTAGCTTAAATGGATAAAATAATAAATTTAAAAAACTAGAAACTATCCAACAATAAAATTTATTTATAAATTAAAATATTTAAATCTACAAAATGATAAAAATACCCTTAAAATCTTTTTTTTTTTTTCCATCTTTGGGAGTATTTGTTTCAGATGTTAGAAAATAGCTATCAACTGTTAGTCTTAATCGAATGGTTCAAATATTTTGAATTATAAATAATTACAATTATTAGCTGTTAAATATTAATTATCAATTATTAGCAGTATCAAAACAGCCAATCCAAACAATCTCTTAGACTTCTTAATCACTAGAAACATTTTTTGGCAGCAAGAGTCCATATAAGCTGATTTAATGATGTGCCATTGCATCACCGTAAAAAAAACAAGTGCTGCTTTGGAATTGAGTTAATGGCTACATCATCACTTTACTCACCAAAAAACCAAAAAAAAAAAAAAAAAAGTGTTAAAAAAGTTAAGGGGTCAAAAGTGTTCAAAATGTAAAATTTAAGGATTAAAATTGACATTTAACTTATTTATTTCTCCAGTCCTTAGGTCTGGGTTTAAAATCCGTTCACCCGTATTTGTTCATGTCCAACAACATAACAGGACACACAAAGGCATTGCTTAGGGTACATATTGAAACATTTCGACAGTCTTAAATTCAAAACTTCCACCTCAAATATCAAGAAAAATGAAAAGAAAAGTAAAGTTCTGGTCGACGTTTTTTTTTCTTTGCCCTTCAAAATAAAAACTTCTCAGTATGTGAAATAAGGTTCAATTACAAAAGATAAAGATAAAACACTGACCAAGTGTCCATGATCCACGTTGAATTGCCCAAAAAGAGGAATAAAAAGGCTAAATATATACCAACAAAAATTTGGTTCATATAATATTTATTAACTTAAAATTTTTAATTAAAAATCAAGATTAAAAATTTAAATTTTTGTACTGTTAAGTTTCGTATATTAAAAAATAAGTAAATAAAGGTTAAACTTATGGATTTAGCTGGGCTCTCAAACATTTTAGAAGTGATTTTTGAGATTAATCAAAATAAGGCAGAGACATCTTGTACCCCCAAAAGAAATCTTATTATCAACGCTGCACCAATAAACGATATTTTTTTTCCTATTACGTGGAA